CTTAAATTTATTTCATATACCTATTGACTACCCCTGCACACACGTATTCATCAGAATGTGATTTCCATGAGCATAAGGACCTCGCACATGTTGTTAGTGAATGCCTCTAGGCCTAGAGCAATAACTGCTGCATATGGCAAGCGCTCAGCAAATGCTATTAAATGAATATTAAGATGTGGCTCCTCATAGACCTGGGACCATTTTATATGCCCCGATGGAAATTCAGACATACTAACAAATACCCATAATCCAGCAGTAGGGAGATGAAGACAGGAGGGTGTAGAGCGTGAGGCCAGCCTGGGCTACACAGCAGGAACTCATATCACACACACACACATGCACACATGCACACATGCACACTCACATACATGCAGGTCCTCAAGCCTTCATTTGAATTGTAGCTTTATTGTATTACATTTCAAGGAATTTCTGCATAATCACCTTGGCCTGCTCTTGCTTGGGATAGTTCTCTACCTCAGTAAACCCCTAAACTCCATTTCAAAAACACTTTTCACCAGGTCAAACACTTCCCAATCTTCCAATTTTCCTGTTTTGTTTCAGTCTTTCGACAAGGAAAATGAGAGAAGTGCCATTCAACAATTGCAGGAGACAGAAGGTTGAGGACAGAGCAGGCACCGGGAAAGAAGAGAGAAGAAAAATCAGGGTTTTTTTTTTTTTTTTCTAGCTATGATGTGAGTTTCATGATTACATAACTCCTGCAACTAGGGTAAGTGAATTTTCAACCAGTGTCTGCAGTGAAGTGAAAAGCATAATAGAGTGCAAAACCGAGGATGCAGGCTGGAGACGGAACTAGGTGTGAAGTCCAACATCCTAAGAGGCTCACCTTTCAGAGTGACACACACCAACACACACACTCACATACACTCACATACCAGCACATTCACAGGGGGATCTGTAATGTGCCATCTACAGTAACAACAATATTTAAAAAATTATGTTGAGGACTAGGGAAATTAATATAATGTGATCACTAGCTTTATTGAGGAAGTCAGTGTCTAATACATACGTTTCAAATCATGACATTGTATACTGATTGTCAAGCTTACCTCAATAAAGCAGAGAGAGAGAGAGAAGTAACTAGAATAGGAAAAATACAAAAACATCGATGAATGTACATGAAGTGGACGTAGCCGTTCTGTGTAGGCGTGCCCAGTATCCGCTTATTCAACATATATCTTCCTACATTGTTACAGCTACCGTGCACACATTTTAAAAGTAACTGTCTAGATAATCTGAAAATAGCAGCCAGAGCTAATGTCCCTTTGGTCCGTTAAGCCCTTCGAAAGCATGACCTTTTCAACTCCCACAATAAACATGGGCAAGTGCTTCGACATACTGAACAGTGAGGAAGTGAAGAGGAACCTAATAAAAGACCCCTTGAGGGGTCAGACCTCTCTAGGAGGTAAGCAACACTATTGCTTTACCATGCTGCCCTTCCAGGGCTTAGCTCTTTGCCAGTCAGGATTTTTTTAATTTATTTAATTTTTTATTAATTACAATTTATTTACATTTATTTACTTTGTATCCCAGCTGTAGCCCTCTCCCTCATCCCCTCCCAATCCCGCCCTCCTTCCCACTTCTCCTTCCATGCCCCTCTCCAAGTCCACTGATAGAGGAGGTCCTCTTCTTCTTCTATGTCCTCCTCTCCTTCCAGCTGACCCTAGCCTATCAGGTCTCATCTGGATTGGCTGTATTGTCTTCCTCTGTGGCCTGGTAAGGCTGCTCCCCTCTCAGGGGAAGGTGATCAAAGAGCCAGCATCTGAGTTCATGTCAATGACAGCCCCTGTTCCCCTAATTAGGAAACCCACTTGGAGACTGAGTTGCCATGGGCTACATCTGCGCAGGGGTTCTAGGTTATCTCCATGCATGGTCCTTAGTTGGAGTATGAGTCTCAGAAAAGACCCCTGTGGCCAGATTTTTTGGTTCTGTTGCTCTCCTTGTGGAGCTCCTGTCCTCTCCAGGTCTTTCATCTGCCCCTGGGAGAAAACAGGGAATAGTACAGGAGCCTACTACAGAGGGCCTCTGACAGATCCTAACTGGCAAGATGATGGGAGCACCACCTATGGAGAACAAGCAAGCACCACTGAATTAAATTTAAATTTTAATGGGGGTATTTCAAGTGCTTTTTTAGTTATAAGTTACTGGGGAATTGTTTTCCTACATTGTATACTGTACAGAGGCATTGAGGGGATGAACTAATAATGCTCCCTTATGAAGTGTGGGGAGTGTCGAGGCCAGCCATTTGGAGTCCCAGGGGGACTGGCGGGTGAAGCATCAGCGACTCCTATGACTCCTTGAAAGGTCCTGATCCACTGCACACGGTGTTGATCCACTAGGGACCCCCAGCACACTAGTGAAGGCTCAAAATGGATCCAAAGCTAGGACAGTGACTGCTTCTCCCTTCTTACAGAAGTCTCCTAAGGTGACCTTGCCCATACACACACACACACACACACACACACACACACACACACACACATTTGTAGTCCCGCCAACGTGACTGATTGTTACTGGTGCTTGAGGCTAGCATGGGATGGTCTGATTGGCCTTTCAAACATTTACAGGCCTTTACATTGGACATTAAAGTACGACCTGCACCTTTGAGTCTGGTCTCCGGAGTCTGATTCCTGGGATTCTGTGTGGGCTCCAGTCGCCACTCACCCCTTCCCTGGGTTCCCGATCCCCACAATGAAGCTTACCACACTTTATTTTGAAGTCGTATACTTAAATTCTTATCTTTGTATTTTTCATGTGGGGTGTGAAGCTTGCATGTGTGTTTTTTCACTCATATGTAGGCACATGGAGATGCTTGCAAACACAGGTATTCAGATCACAGGTACCATACTTCATCCTTTATAAGTAAAGAGCAATCCATGCTCTTTATTTTTACTGAGGTAAGGTTTATCACTGAGCCTGGAACTAATTCAGATAGTCTAGAAACCAATTTGTTCCAAGGATTCCCTGTGTCTACCTGCCAAGAACTGGAATATAAAACACACACACACACACACACACACACACACACACACACACACACTCCTGCCTGTTCCCTGTGAGTACTGGGGATCTGAGCTCTAGTCTTCACTCTTGTCCAGCAAGTGCTTTATCCATTGAGCCCAATTTAATGTTTGTAAGATTTATTGGTGTCTACTATTAATTTTAAGTTTGTCTGTGTTCCTTGCGCTTTTGGTTTTACACTAAAGCACCAACTTTCACCAGCAAAAAGCTATTATGTTGAAATAACCCATGAGATTATTTCAGAGTCCAAGGAAAGTCAAGAAAGGGGAAGGAACTGATCAATTCTAGAGAAATTAGCAGTGGGACTTTCTGTTATGATATCAACCTTGTCTTTCCTCAACCCTACCTCCATTTTAACTCTTTGGAAAGAGCTCCCGTTGGACACAAGTTGGATCAAATATTCTACTTGAAAAAAGAAACCCAGTTTAATGAAAATAGGTATTAACATGGATATAAACCTAGCCTCCAGAGAAGCCAAATGTATAAAGACAAAACAATTCTTTAGAAGGAAAAAATTGGGTACTGATAAGCCACTTCAAAAGATACAGTCCCATTTCAAATACCTCTTTCCAGCTGAGTTTTACCCTCTTCTCTCTCTCCCCACTACCACCTCAGGCTGATAATAGCTGTACATCTTATTTAACAATACCCTAGATGAGCTAAAATGCCCTTTTATTGTAATACAAACATTCACACACATAATATATAATAACAAAATGTCAGAAAAGTAATATTTTTCTGTATGTTATGCAAACAATTCAGTTCAATTGTGGACACTATATAGAGTGTAAACTAAATGTTTTGTAAGTAGGAGTTGGCCAGTATATTTGGTCTATGATGATGTAGTAGCTCTTATCTGACTACACATAGAATGTCCTTCCTTGACTATTAAACTTATTTACTATTTCCTGGAAGTTAAATCTAGACATTTATCAATACCAGAAAATATGTGAGATATACATATGCATATATATATATAAATTGTATGTATGCATATCCATTCAGTAACTGTAAAAAATATTCTTGTAAAATTCCAACAACTTTTCAATATCTTCTTCTTTCTTCAAATTATGATATCTGTACACTTTTTTTTTAAGTTTTGCTTTCCTTGGCCCCTGTAGCCACAGTTCATTTTCCTTTATTTTACTTTTTTCTTCCTTTTATTCAATGACATTACTCAAGGACAAACTGCCAATTTCATCCTGAGAACTACCTTCTTGTTTTCAAAGAATTCTGTTTCATTCATGCTAAAATGGAAGTATTTTCCAGTAAAAGCTACAGTTATGTCAGAAATCATATAATCATTTTATATTACCATTATCAATTTTCCTCTTCTTGGTATTGCTCCAATACCCTAGAAATCATGAAATGATATTTAAATCAGATGCACAACTCTATTGAGAAGTGGTTCTGCAAACTTTGATATAAAACCATCAAATGATAGTGTTACTAAAACATTATAGGTTTTCAAATGGGCAAATCTAAACAGCTTGATATTTTTATCACTTGGGATAAATTACTAAGATATTCAGAAATCTTTGCCACAATCCTAAATTACATGAAACGAATATGCAATAAAATGGTGTTCTATCTGCCTATTCTTCAAATCGGTTTTCATCCATCAAAGAGATGCTAATTATGGAAAATGACTAATAATCTAGCGCCCCAACCCAGTGATAACTACAAGTCCCATGATGCAAAGCTCGAGCCTAAACCTATCTACCCACAGTGCCTCCTGGGAGTTGAAGTCTTTTAGTCACCTACTTGGCAAACTAGATATCGCAGTCCTATTTCTGAGAAAGTCACTTTTAGTAATAAAGCCTGTGGAAAAACTGTCGATCCCCTGTGAGGAAATTAGATTCGTTCGGGCTACTGCTGAGACAGCGATCGACAACTCTAGCGTGAGCCTCCGAGGGAGGCGGTACCGTGGCGTGACGTCACTTCCGGGAGCGGCACCCCAGGCCAACCCTTCCCTCCGGTTCGCGGGAACCCGGCTGGGTGGCAGAGCTGAAGCGCTGAGCGGCTGCTCCGGTGCGGAGGGTCACGGTAGGTGTCCCGGGAAGGAGACGACCCGCCCCAGTGGAAGAGCAGCCGCGGTCCTTCACCTGAAGGCGCGGGGCGCGCCGAGGTAGGACGCGGGGGCACCTGCCGCCTCGGCGGCGGGAGGGCGGATGCGGGGTGGCTGCGGGAGCCCGACCCCGCCGCACCCCCCGGCTGCCCGGACACGCGGCCGCCCGCAGGGGTGCAGGAGCCGAGGGGTCGCGGCCCGCGCCCACCGCGCCGCCCTGCCCGCTCCCCTGGGCCTGCGTCCCGCCACCTGGCTGTCACCCACCTCGCCGGTAGCCCGAGAGCATCCTCCTGGGGGACACGCGTCAGGCGGCCCCCCAAGAACGCGACACGCCCTCCGGCGGCCCCGCGGCTGGAAGCCCCCGGGGCCACACGGAGGCCGTCCTTGACAGCCCGGGGCCTCAGGGGGCACCTGTCAGAGGCCAGCCCGGGGCGCGGAGAACCCTGAGAATCAGGCTCAGTTAGTCCTCGGGGGTGGAGGCGGGGGTGGGGGGCGGCGTCGAGAAAACACCCGAGAGGTGAGTAAGCAGCTCAGGTTTCTTGACTACTTCTCGGTGAGGAAGGTTGCACCGGCCGCGTGAGGTGAGAAGCCCTGTTCCAGCGTCTTCCCAAGTCCAGGGGAGATTGCTTGCTGCCAGTGGAGTTGAGTAAGAGTTGGGCTGGTAGATTCCCCTGTTGCTGTGTATAAACAGGCCCGTCATTTCCCCTGGTTGGGACTTAAATTTTCTGAGTTTATTATTTAAGGACGTAACGGGAAGTCATTACTTCTTTGTACTACAAAGTTAATCTGACATAAAATACAACCATGTTTTGCACCCTAGATTAATCTAGAAACTAAAGCAAACTTTTAATCATTTCATTTGGTTGACTGTAAACCTGATCACCCTTTTATTTTTCATTAACTCGATCAAGTTTACTTTTGAACGCTATCTGATTCTAAGTTTTATTTTATGTATTTATTTTACTCTCAGAACAGTTGTTGCTGGCTCTGTGGTACAGGTGTGTATCCCAGCACCTCTGGAGGCTGGAGGCAGATCAAAAGTTCAAGCCTACTTGGGCTACTTAGCAAGTTCACAAGCAGCACCTAGAGAAGTTAGCGAGACCCTATCTAAAAATTAACTTTTTTTTTAAGGAGAGAGGTTAAATACCTGGGTACCAAAATAAAAGAGCACTTCTTAATAATAATTTAAGGCTCTGTGACAAAAATCTTTTTATTTCCTTTTTTTTTTTTTTTTTTTTTGCAGGGCAGGAGTGGGGGCACAGTGGGGATGTGTTTGTATGTGTGTTGGGATTAAGTCCATTTAAAATGAATATTGCAAAAATAAAGGAAAGTAGACAAAAATGAAGTGTGTTATGGGGGTCAAGAAAAAGATATAAAGTAAATTTGTTTTCTTTACCGTGCAAAGGAGGCCGCAGAGATGATCAGATTAAAGGATGGTGTTAGGAGTATGTCTTCATTAAAAAAAAAAAAAAAAAAAACTGAACAAATTAAAAAGAACACTTTGTTTTCTTTTGCATTTATGGTCTAGGTTGAAGACTAATACTTCAATATGTCCTTCTCATTTTTAGATAGTGAATTCCTAAGAAGAAAATAATGAAGTGCACATTAGTTGTTCTTTAAGAGTTCGGACTCAAAGGTGTACAGGTTTGTTGCCAAGGCCAAAGAAGATGGCAACCCCTTACGTCCCAGTTCCTATGCCAATCGGAAATTCTGCTTCCAGTTTCACAAACAGCAGAAATCAGAGGAGTTCTTCTTTTGGTAGTGTCTCCACAAGCTCAAACTCTTCCAAAGGCCAGCTAGAAGACTCAAGTATGGGCAACTTCAAGCAGACGAGCGTGCAGGACCACATAGACGGTGCGCCCTCAGCCTGTGCCAGTCCTCTCATTAGGAGTAAGTTTACAGGTCCAGATTCTTCCATCGAATACTCTGCTAGACCGAGAGACGCTGAAGAACAGCACCCTGATGTGCTGAATTGGGAAGACAGACCTTCTACACCTACAATTCTGGGTTATGAAGTTATGGAGGAGCGAGCCAAATTTACTGTAAGTATTGGCTCTGCTGCGCACCAGGAACAGGTAAAAGATTGGTTTACTGGTGTGCTTAAGTGTGCGCTGATCAAGGCAAGCCTATACCTCAGATTCTTGACCACCAAATTCTGACCCTTTTACCCAGTGAGTTCTTCTGTGCTATTTTAGACCACCAGACATACCTCTGTAACTAGCACCTAGAAGAAGAGAAAACATTAGCACGTATAGAACTTCTCCATGCTCCCTGACAGTCAGTACCTACCCCACTCACCCAGTATTTTTCTGGGCATCTCTATTAATCTTCCCTTTGTTTGCACTTGACATGTGATTATTGAGCACATAGTCTTTGGGATCCAGTTTTGTTACAGCATTACGCTTGTGAGAGTCATCCTTAATCTTGCATAGATTTAGGGAGCTCATTTTGATTCCTGGTAATACTTGTGTTTTAAGGTTCTTTTAGACACCACTGCTGTGATCATTTAGTACTGATCACTTGGGAAACATATGTATGCATTTCCATTTGAAATCTATGTAGCAGTAAAGTGGCTAGTTCATTCACCCCGCCTTGGAAGACACTGGTGAGCCATGCTCTGTAGGGGCATTCCACGCAGTGTGGGGTGCCCACTCATTCCACACCTTCCTAGTGTTGCCTTTTCCTTCCTTCTTATTTTATGTGTTCTAGTTTATAAAGAAGGTGAATTGTCTTAATGACTAGTTAGATTAAAACATTCAAACCCTTTTTGGCTATTTGGATAGTCGCTTATACCTTCTCTTATACACCTCTGTTTTTCAGTTTTCTGTCTTCTAGACACACGTCCTTTTTCAGGTGTGTGTGTGTGCTGTGACTGCTTCTATCCTCTGTTGTCCCTCTTGGTACATGTGATCAGCATAGCTTTAACAGGCCCCAGATTCCTATTTTATTACTAACAGCCTCTTCTCTTGTTCCTTCATTTTTAAGATGTTCTCTCGCTGAGTGGACTAGGCTGTTCTCAGACTCGCCATGCTGCTGCCTCTGTGTCCCCAATGCTAGGATTAGGTCATGTCCACTACACCTGGCCCTGGCCAGCACTTCTTTAAAACCTTTGCCTCCTCTGGTGCTGTAAAGGTGTTGCCGTGCCTTTGTCTAGGAGTTTCTTGTTAGACCTTTCACATCTGCAAACTGTCCAGGAGTAACTCCATTGTCCACGCTATGATGAAAGGCCCAGCCAATTCTATTTTTCTCACTTAATCAGACTTTCATTTAAAAGCGCTTTTTACTTCCAGTATTGCCTGTGACATAAGGCATAAAGATGAGTCTCCTATGCTCCATTCTTGTCTGTTACCAGTTCCACAATCCTAATAAGTAAAGCATTTAATAGATCTTGTTACACAGCGCTCAAACTGTGTTGTTTCTCAGGATGGCCTGTGTTGTTCTCTGCCCTGTGCACTGGGTTTTTTTAGATTTATAAACCAGCCAAAGGGAACCATCATCTTCCCCGGTACTGTCTTCAAACATCTGGTGAACCCATTGCCCTAAACCTTTAATTCCTCTGGTAATGTTTTGTAGTTGTCTATGCAGAGGTCTTGCTGTCAGATATATGTCTGACTATTTGATGCTCTTAGAAGAGATGTATATTTATTTGTTTTCTATATTTTAACTAACCTTTTTTTGTTGTTCAAATCTGACTAGCTTTAGTATTTTGGGGTTTGGTATGGTTTGGTTTGTTTCTTTTCTCGTATTTTGAGACAGGGTTTCTCTATGTAGCCCTTGCTATCCCCAAAAGTCACTGGGTAGACCTGGCTAGCCTTGGACTCCTACAGTTCTGCCAGCCTCTGGCTCCCAAGTGTTGGGATTGTAGGTTTGGGCCAGCGCACCTGGCTTGGTATACATGCTTTAGTATTGCGTGTTCATGCATGTTGGGCTATATGTGTTTATCGTTCACCCTGCTAAAGTCACACTAGATCAAAGACTTGTTTTTGGATTTTCCTGCAGTAGTTTTTATGTTTATTCTGCCACTTTATGCTGTAAGCTTCTTCCTGGAGGAGAGGTTCTTCAAGAAAAACTGTTGGCATGATTTTTGCAGAAACAGTGTAATACAGGATGCAGTGATCATCCTGCTGGGATGGGCTGAGAATCTGCATGGAGCTATCATTCAGAACATTCTACCGATTATAACCTGATGGCTGCTTCCTTACATTTACACATCTTATGAAAGAATGTATACTCTTAAGAGTATGCTAGGGTATGAATGCTTGGGCCCACCTCACCTCCAAGGTGATGCTGCTAAGATGCAGAACCAAGCTGGTGAGATGGCATGGTGAGTAAAAGTGCTTGCAGCCAAGCTTTATAACCTTGGTTCTTTTCCAGGCCCCACACAGTAGAAGGAGAGAGCAGTTCCTAATTGGCACTCTGACCCGCACACGTGCTGTGGGATTTTGTCTTGGTCATACTTTAAAAAGTTATTGTGGTTTCTTCACCTCCATATATTTGAGTCTCTAAATGATTTCATATTTCTTGCATAAAAATTGTTGGATATACCAAGTAAAGTTTTCTACAAATGTTTGATCTCTTTCTTTCTCTACCCCTTTTTCTCCCTCTCCCCTCTTTCAATATCGCTTTTCCTGTCTTTCTCCCTTTCTCTCTTTCTAGGTTTATAAAATACTAGTAAAGAAAACCCCTGAAGAAAGCTGGGTAGTTTTCAGAAGATACACTGACTTCTCTAGGCTTAATGACAAAGTAAGTGGTCAACTCTCAAGCTGCCTTTCAGTTGTGAGGTATGCATCTGTCCCTGCATCTTTCTTCATTGTGTAACCTTCCTTGTAAGGTATCCAGTCTTCGTGGGTTCATGATAAAATCATATCGTTCATTTCACTATAATCATAGTGATCATTAGTGAAATGTCTAATAGAAATATACAGTTCACTGCATATGTATAAATAAATTGTTCTAATAAATATGAAATGCTTAATAGTACTTATAAGATTATATAGCCTCAAAAGTTTGAGGAAAATCTGCTTAATATCAGTATAATTAAAGGAAAGCGAAAAAAGTACATAATGTTAATATTAGTTCTGTTGCTGCCTACACTGTTAAAACTCTTAATAGTGGTTTAGAATAGGGGTGCTGTGTTCTTTAGGACCAGGCAAGCTCTCAGTAAGCTTTGGCCAGGCTGCACTCTTATCCGCTGTCTCTGGGGAAGCATCAGCTTCCAAGTTCATTCAGGTTTTGATCAGAGTTTAGTTTCTTGACGTTGTCGGACAAGGCATTTGTTTGATTGATGGCTGTCAGCCAGCGATCATTCTTAGGGTGCGGATCCATGCATTTATGTGGGTTCTCCATCTTTAAAGCTGCAGCCTGACTTTTTTAAATGGGCTAGTCAGAAGTCAAATAGATAATGCACCAGAGAAGATTCACAAAGCCAGCTAGGCAGTACTTAACTGTTTATGAAATGAGAAATGCAGATTACAGCTGCAGTGAATCTGACTCCTTACCCACCGCGATGCCTAGCAGGAGAAGGTGGGAAAGAGCAGGAGCAGGCACTAGTGTGGAGCAACTGGAATGCCTGCAGACACAGCTGTAGGAGACATCAAGATGCAAAGCAGAAAAGGCTTAGCTGGTTAATTATAAGCTTGTTTGGTGAATAATTTAACATAGTTCACGGTATAAAGTAGTGTTCAGTTCGTGTAATTGAGTTAAACATTCTCTCTCTCTCTGTCTCTCTCTTTCAGTTAAAAGAGATGTTTCCAGGCTTTCGATTAGCACTTCCTCCAAAGCGCTGGTTTAAAGATAATTACAACGTGGACTTTTTAGAAGATAGACAATTAGGATTACAAGCATTTCTTCAAAACTTAGTAGCTCACAAGGACATTGCTAACTGGTATGTAACAAATTGAAGTAAGAGATTATAAAATCATTTCAAAAACCAGTTTAACCTGAAGAATAAAATTAGGTCAGCTTCATAATGGAGGGTGGGGCTATAATTACTTCTCTCAAATACATGGAATTGTCTTGTTTTGTTTTAGTTGAGGATTTTATTTAGCATTTCATTTGTATTAAAGCTTTAAATGTGAAGAGAAAAATCTCAGTGTGCAAAATCCTCAAACTACCCAGCTGTAACTTAATTTTAGTACCCAACATTAGCAGTCATGTAGACAAAATGGCTCACATAATGCTCATTTTTGGTTAATGTAAAAATAACTTTGAAGCTAATATTTTTTATGTCTCTCCAAAGTAATATAAAAATTAGGAAGATAGACTAATTCATGTAGTAACGTAAAATTTCTGGAAACATTGAATAGTATGAAAAGAATTGAAGGGTTTTTGGTTTTTGGTTTTGTTTTGATTTTTTTGTTGTTCTTGTTTTGCTTCTGAATATAAGAAAATCCTTTCATGAATTACCATGTTTGAAGGATTTATGTTATTAGAAAAATTAGAGCTGTTTTTGAAAAAAAACAATGAGCAATAGCATATGGTATGTGTCTGCAGCTGTGTTGCTTTTCAAATAATGATGGAAAGTAACTGCAAACCCCCATCTCTTTCTCCGATTTTTTTCACTCCATCTTTATGTATATTGCCTTCAACCTTCCCTGAGACCTGCACACTCTTCATGAGCATCTTGCTCTTCAGTGTACAGTGCCTCAGCTTGAAGAATAGTCTTCAGACAGTTTTTGCCCAATTTCTAGTATCATTATCTATTCCAGACCATATGTTGTCTTTCACCCATCCCTCACTACTTTAATCTCTTCTCTTAAGTTTTAGCACTCACTCAGACTTGTTGACTTTTTCTCTATCACTGCCATGTCCATCCTGGAGCAAGCATGTCTCAACCTTAATTCTTGTAGTATTTCCTGCTTATCTTCCTCTCCTCGTTCACACTTCTTTCCATAGCTCACTAGAGCCTCTGATCTTATTGCAGTGCAGTTTAATGAAATCATTCTGGCCCCAGCCTCCTTGCCTATCTTTCCAGCCATGAGTTTGTTCTTCTCCATTCACCCATTCTGTGTGCATGTGCCATATCATCTCCTCTTCCTCTAATGTTATCCTGCTTCCCAGTCTTTAAATATGCTATATCCTGCAAAGGCAGCATTTCACATTACTGCCCCACTGTGTCTCCTGTACATCCCAAAAGTTTCAACACAGGCTTCACATCATTATGTAACTGGCCTTTTTGACTAGCCCCTTGCCTTTCCACCACCAAAACCAGGGTCTCCTCTTTTTCATAATTTTTGTGGGAGCCCTTCACTGTCTTGAAAGTTGTCTCCTAATGCTTTAAGACACCTGTGGTGCATAATGAACATCTGTCTTCTGGGTAGGATGGCATTGGCTTTGTACAAGTCTTAAGAATTGAGAAAATAGCACTTAAGTCATAACCAATACAGTTTAGTTCTCATGGCACCAGTTACAAAAGGCTAGTTGCTACTTGACTTTCATCACATTTTGGGTTGCACATTATTTTTGTGATTATTTGGGCTTGTTTCTTTCACCAGATTGTAAGATCTAGTTATGTGATTATTTTATTTACTGTGCAGTCCCATGCTTTGCATAATACTGACTGAGTCAGTTCTCAATATCTCTTGGATGGATGGATGGATGGATGGATGGATGGATGGATGGATGGAGAGATGGAGAGATGGAGAGATGACAGAACTGTTAGTATTCTATTAGAAAATTAGAATTCTATTAGAATTCTAATAGTATTCTATTAGAAAAGGGAAGTTTGTACAAATGAATATATGTGTGTGTGTATTTCTCAAAACACAAAAAAAGAAAGATTATCATTAATGCCAGGATAAAAAAAAGCAGTAGTGAAAATTAGTACTAGAAAAGGCCTTTAAAGTTTATCTTATACTATACCATAAAGAAACATTGTAAGATAAGAAATCTATTCATACTTTCTCTTTTGTCTTGACCCATAATCAGTAAGCCTGATGTCTTTGTACTAAAAATGTGCTAAATTATACTCTATGGACCACTTTAAGTAACTTTTTTTATAATCTTATTTTTAAGAAGCAAAATGTATATTTAGATGCATATTTTTTTAAATTACCAATTACAGATTTCAGTCACTAAAAGTTAGGCATTGCAGCCAGGTGTAGAACAGAAGCCTGGAATATCAGCATTTGGAAGGTAAGCCTGGAAGATTGTACATTTGAATTAAGCCTAGACTACCTAGAAAGTCCATGTCAAAAACAAAGTAGATGAAATAAAATCAATCAAACTACTTATCACTAAAAAGAAAAAGAAAAATGTAGATCAGTAAAGAACATATTCCTTACATGCACAGGGCTCTGGCTTTGAACTCAGAACTGCAAATAAAAAAGAGTAGACTTAAACTAGGCATAGCAGCACAGACCTTTAATCCAAGCACTTGAGGAAAAGGCAGGCAGATCTCTGTAGGAGTTCGAGGCCAGGCTGGTTTATATAGTGAGTTCCAGGACAGCCAGGGCTATGTAGAGATAGCCTGTCAATAAAAAAAGTTTACTTTGTTAAGGTCTTCAAGATTCCTGAAACTAGAGAGTTGGCTCAGTGGTTAAGAGCACTTGCTCCTCTTGCAGAAGATCTGGTTTCAGTTCTCAGCTCTCACATGGTGGTTTGGAACCATCTATTATTCCAGTTCCAGGTGACACAAGTCCTTCTTCTGACATCTCTGGGCAGGAGGCATGCCCATAGTATATTTACATACATGCAGACAGAACACTTATACACACAAAATAAATCTAAAAATGTTTTTTAAATGATCTCTCAAAGAGCTCACTGAGCTTTGCTCAATTCAAAAATGTGTATTTTAGGAAAATGAACATTTCTTACCAAATTAAGTAGATGAAAGTTTTCATTCCTGAGTGAGGTATCCCAGAGGCAGAAAGATACACACTCACTTATAAGAGGATACTAGACCTATAAGATAGGATAAGCATACTAAAATCTGTACACCTAAAGAAACTAACAAGAAGGAGGACCCGGGGTAAGATGATGAATCCTCACTTAGAAAGACAAATGGGATGGACGCTGGAAGTAGGAAAAAACAAGAAACAGGACAGGAGCATACCATAGAGGGCCTCTAAAAGACTGCCCAGCAGTGTATCAAAGCAGATGCTGAGACTCATATTCAAATTCTGGGCAGAGTGTAGGGAATCATATGAAAGAAGGGATAATTAGTAAGACCTGGAAAGGACAGGAGCTCCACAAGGACCAAATATATCTGGACACAGGGGTCTTTTCTGAGACTAATACTCCAACTAAAGACCATGCATGGATATAACCTAGAACCTCTGCTCGGACATAGCCCAGGGCAGCTCAGTATCCAAGTGGCTTCCCTAGTAAGGGGAACAGGGACTGTCTCTGACATGAATTCAGTGGCTGACTCTTTGACCTCCTTACCCACCCCCCACCCCTACTCCCCGTGGAAGGAGCAGCCTTGCTAGGCCACAGAGGAGGACATTGCAGCCAGTCCTGAAGATACCTGATAAGCTAGGGTCAGATGGAAGGGGAGGAGGACCTCCCCTATCAGTGGACTTATAGAGGGGCAGGGAGGAGATGAGGGAGGAAGGGTGGGCTTGGGAGGAAATGAGGGATGGGGCTACAGCTGGGATACAAAGTAAATAAACTAATTAATATAAAAATTTAAAACAGTATTAAAACTTAAGAAGTATCTAGTTTACCTCAGCATGTCTTGGCCTATATCTTTTATCTTGTCTTACATCATCAGACATTTGGGTAATCCACTTAATTTATATTAGAAAATAGGATATTTTTCTTTGTCATGAAGTATACATTATTTTTTTCTGAATGATATGTAGCATTTATCTTACAGTGAAAGAGGTTCCTTAAATTGTTAGCATGAGATAGTGAAGAGAAGGATTATTCATCTGTCATAAGAGTTTGTCCCATAACTTCTTGGCCTCGTGTTCTGTTGGGAAATTTGGCTTTTGTTTGAATGAAAAAGGGAGGTTTGTAAACTGCTGCTATGTGTGATGCAGATTAGTAAAGTAGAGGCACGGGAAGGAGGGAAGTACTGGAAGTAAGGTTGAGATTGGGGGTAGGAAAATGTATGGATCAGGAAGGAAGAATGAGAAAATGTATAATAATTCCGAGGCTGCCAAAGAGCTATTTACAAATTCAAAAGCTGGTGGTATTCCCCTGCTTTATTTTTGCATTGTCTATCCACCTTTGAGGACTGTTTATTCTACAGACATAAATGCTGCCTTCTCAGCCTGTCAGAGGCTGAATTACTTGTAGCGATTCTGCAGTCAGTAGTGCTGCTCCTGTTGCACTCGGTGCACGGATTTCAATGGTCTCTTCAGGCTCAAGTCACATAGTAGAGGGAGGAAAGGAATTCACTGTTCAAAGACAAGACTTTATTGTACTTAAAAACATAGGTGAGAAAGTCTTTTATTTTTTTATGCTGAGAAGGGAAGAGAGGAAATTCCTCCCAAGGGAGAAAGAACAGATAAAATTTCTGTTCTTCTTTACGATAGATCACTACAAAGAAATGGATAGTTGTGTACCATATACTCCCAGCACTCAGTAGGTGAGGCAGGAGGGTCTCAATTTTTCAGACCATCCTGGCCTAAATGAGAGACCCTGTTTGTTTGTTTGTTGTTTGTTCATTTTTTATTTGGGAGTATCAAAGTGTTTGCTCGGTAGTTAATAGCACTGACTGCTCTTCCAGGGGACCTAATTTCAAATTTCAGCACCCCTACAGCAGCTGACAAATATGTGTAATTCCAGTTCCAAAAGGATCTAACACCCTCTTTTCTTCTCTAAGAGCAGTGTGTGTGTGTGTGTGTGTGTGTGTGTGTGTGTGTGTGTGTGTGTTACACCGATGTACACATGGGCAAATACCCATCATACACATCTAAATATCAAGAAAATCAAAAGTAAACAAAGATCAAGTTTAGTGTATCTTTATATAGCCAACTAATTGTTCATGTATTAAGTTATTCTCTCCTTTCTGATAGACTGTACACACTTAACTTTCTGATCACCTGTGCTATTGATCACCCGTGCTATTTAATGACAGCTATTGTCATTAAACAGGTAGTAGCTCTTAGTAGTTAGAATTGCTTCAACTGCAACAGGAGAAAGTGGAGGGAAGATGAAAGAAAATTAAGAACTCTTAGTTTAAAGTATTGAGAATATTGTTTTCAGCACTGTTGATAAAACACAAAGCAAAAGCAAAAACAGACTGTTTCCATGATAACAGGATTTTATTAGAAATTTTACCTGTTCAACAAATATTTACTTAGAGCTTATTGTATGAAAATATGGCTATACAAAGATGAATTGGGTGCTGGTCCTGTATAAATCTAAGTGAGAAGATATGACCGGAAAAGTGATAATGGAAAGAAATATATCTTTTAGTGAAGGAAATGTCATGACTGGCTGACATTTGAACTAGTCTCTAAAGAATTAATGATATTTGGACCATCTTTGAGACAGTGAAGAAGGATTTGCCAGATGAAAGAGAATTTTCTAATCAAACTACAGAAGTAAAGCCTGCAGGTTATATGCTGGGAACAGCACAAAATTTGGTTTGTCAAAGTAAAGCACATTTATTTGCACAGTCTCAGTTAAGACACAGCTGTGTCTTAGGTTCTTACGCTGGCATCATAGCACCATTGATGCACCACAGCAATATTTACTATTCTCTGTTCTCACAAGCATGTCCATGTTTTTCTCTTTTTAAGCTCTTTCATCTCCCAGTTAAACCTTAAGAAATCCTGTGAAAAGAAGCTTTCAGACAGTAACACCAGACTTAGCAGAGAAGGGGTGGGAAGGGACCTAATGAGAAACTCTTGTGGATAGTACTAAATCACCTGAACCATGAAGATGAAGAGTCAGGTTGAGGTGGGAAAGCTGACCCCAGGATAATAGCCAGTGTGAATAGAGGCCGATTAGCATGAGACACAGCTTTAGATACAAGGATCTAGTTCGCTGGAGTCTCAGGAAGAAAATTAACACTAGGCAATTAATTGCTTTATGCCAGTTCTGAGAACCTAGCTCTACTCCATCTGTAGATGGTATGTTGAAATATTCTGGCTCAAAAAGGACCAAACTGGTTTGTAGAGGCTCTAGTGGGTGGAAGGTGATCAGACTGTTGCACCACAGCTCCCACTACTTCAGAACTTCCCTTCCACCCACAATTCTCATACACTGTGACTGTCCCGCACCAGCCGGGCCTCCTCAGTCTTCTTCAGTGTTATGGGTAGTGTCTTTTTCTCTGAAGTCCCTCTAATACTTTTATACCGTGGCTTTTGTGCCAGATTTGGTATTACTATTTTTAGTATACTTAGATTTTGTCTTAAGAGGCAAGGTTCTGCTATATAGGCCAGACTGGCTTCAGACTTAGAATCATCCTGCCACAGCAAGTGAAGTAGAAAGACCATTTAGCTGCTAAACTATTAGTCTTTCAAACACTGGGAAAGTCTAAAGAAATAAATAATCTATAAAAGACAAAAAAGGACAAGTAACAGTAAATATAAGGTAAAGGTTTAATGATAAGATATTTTATTAGGAACATAGTTTAAAAGTACAATTGAACTCTTAAGAGCACCTTTTTAAGAGAATTAAAAGATTCAAGTTACAGTACAGAATCCATTAAACCTATGTCATTTAGTGGAGAAGTTTCCATGCTGCTTTTCATAGTGGCTGTACCAGTTCACATTCTTATCAGCAGTGAATAAGAATACCTCTTTCCTCACATCTTCCCCAGGACTGCTTATTTTCTTGATGAAGCCATTCTAACTGGGGTGAGATGGAATCTGAAAAAAGTTTTAATTTGCATTTCCCTAATGGCTAAGGAAGGTGAACATTTTTAAGTGATTATTAGCCATTTGTGTTTCTTCTGAATTTTTGGTTCAATTTATTTATTATTAATTGGTTTTAACTGCTTTTTTTTTTATTTATTTCACTGCTGTTGTTTTTAACTGCTTCTGTATTTCATCCCAACTTTGTCCTGTCAAACCTAAGAACAGTTGCTTTCCTATGACTCACTTGTATCTAAATGTAGGAAAGATGGATAGACAGACAGACAGACAGATAGATAGGTATGGTTATAATTCCTACACTGGAAGACTGATGGTCCTGTTCTACTCTGTGCTCTTAAACCAGTTGCAGTATTCTAAATGCCAGAACTTGAGAGTGGTACATGCAACTGAAAATGTTCAGAGAAGTGGCCTAAAAAGAAGTATTTAACCAGGGTTGGGGATTTAGCTCAGTGATAGAGTACCTGCCTAGTAAGCGCAAGGCCCTGGGTTCTCTCCTCAGCTCTGGGGGAAAAAAAAAATTAACAGAAACAAAACATAAGACAAAATAATTTTCAGCTAGAAAGGGGCATAGATTTATACAAGACAGATGTTAGGTCCATCTCTACCACATGCATTATGTCACTGAGAAGGTCATTTTTCTGTCTAGACTTTGATATCATTTCTGAGATAGAGAAACGAGTATCTTGCCTTCCAGAGCAGCTGTGAGTGTGAGAGTGGTATGATTCATTGTGAAAGTGTGAGTGTATTGGTGTTACTTCTAGGATATTAAGCATTAGAGGAAATGGAGTAACATCCTTAATGCTTGGTGTTATCATATAAAAGATTTGGTGTTACCCTGAATGGTCCAAAGAGCTGAACAGACACTCAGAGGTGCCTTGGGGAGACAAATTACTGCTTAGTAAAGAAAATAACTGATTTCACCCACAGGGTGGTTTCTGTAAAAAGACAGAAATGAAGTATCACCTGTTGTTGCCTGAACAGCATAGTAGGTGGTTCAGCTACATCACTTTGCAATTCATTCATGATCATGGATGGACATTTGCTTTTTCTCAGCCTCCCTGAACATGTGTTCTTTCCACATAGTATTGGAAATATTTAACAGTCTACAGTTTGCTTACCATTTGCTTCTTTGCTCTGTCTTTTATGTTCCTATTTTGCTCTTGAAGAGATCTCACTGAATAGCCAACTTATGTCTTCATGATCACACAGCCTTGTCATTATAAACCTCTCTGGCCCAATATGACCCCAAAGCCCCATTATCTTTTCAACATGGGGTGGTGTCTCCTTTATGTAGTGTGTCAATTAATCATATTCTTGTCTTTTACAAATAAGAGAACTTTAAACTGCATGTATATGTCAAGTTATGTCTCAGGCTAAAAACTGCTATTTAGAAGAAGAGAGCATGTTTAAGAGGAAGTTTGATGGGCTGCCATCTTAACCCATAGTGAGGAAGTTTGATGGGCTACCATTTTAACTCACTGCCGATGACACAAGTATATCCATGGGAGTATTTCATTATATAAAACATTTGATAATTAAGGGATGGTCAAAATTGTTCCTTTTAATATCTTCAGGGAAATATGTACATGAAATAATAAACATAGCAAGGGCAGTTGTTAAGGTATTTAAGAGTAAAGATTTTTCAGACCTTAGTAGCTTTTCCCCAAGAAGAGTACAAATTAAGAATCACTTTCCTTCATAGCAAGGTGACAACTATTCAGCTGTTGATACTAAGGCTTCTTTGAAAGTCAGAGTGAGAATGGCCACTGTTGCTGTTCTCTACTGTTATTCTGAATTGTGTTGATTGTGATATGGTTTCTATATATCTACTGTAAACTTGCAATTTTTATTTATATTTGTAAGATCCTATGAATAGCATAATACCTTTATATCTTCTGTAGTTTGATGTTTGCATGTGGCTGCTTATGTGAATACATTTTTATATTATCTGCAAAACTGTTTACCTCACACATTGTATAGCGTCAATGTACCTTTTGCTTTCTGCTGTCTTTTGTAAACCTAGTTGTATGCCACCTAATTTTTTGCCTTTGAAAAGCCTTGCAGTGAGAGAATTTCTTTGTCTGGATGATCCACCGGGTCCATTTGATAGCCTAGAAGAAAGCAGGGTAAGTGCTGTATTATATGTCATATGAAAGAGGAATAAATAATACAGTACAAGTACTACAGTGTTTCTTGGATGGATTAGCAAACAGCAATATATTATTAGTTCAAACTATAGTGGTTGTATTAAGACAGCTTTTAATGTTTGAATCAAAAGTTTCTTTCATTGAAATACATGGATCTAGTTTAGTGAAATGATAAAAATTCATACATGGCATGTAATGAATGAAAATCTAAAATTCTTTCTACTTTTTTAATGCTTAAAATTAATAAAATGCTACAGGAATTAGATTTGTTTCATTTGGCAATATGATTTTATGATGATCATTCCTTTTCTAAGGCATGCAGGTGAGGGAACCCACTGTTACATTCAAATTGAGCTGATCTTCAGCGGGAGACAGAATTGTCTTGTTAGCAATTCAGCTCATGTTTGATGGTACTCAAATTACGATAATTGACGCATTAAAGTGGCCCGTTTCTTGAAGCAATAGGCTAGATTCACAAAACAGATTTGGTAATAATAGATTAGCTGGAATTTTATGCAAGTTTACCCCCAAATGTTTAATGGCATTTAAATGAAACAGATTTAATTGGTAGGCTTGTAGTTTTGTGCAGTTAAACTGTAGCACTTCTTTGTGTTAGAGTAAATGCTGTAGCTGTTTTAAAAACACTTTTATTGTAGTAAAATCTTCAGAAGCTGTATTCATTTGTTATTTTGTTATTCCATTGTAAATTTACAGCTTAATAGTTTTTAGTATTGATACAGCTGTGGAACCATCATTGTAATCTAGGTTAGAATATTCACATTCCCTCAAAAATTTTTCCTCAAAACCATCCCAAGACAACCTGTAATCTGCTTTCCTTTTCTATAGATTTGCTTTTTCTGTTTGTTCATGCAATAATGTGGGACATGTTTATGCATATAATTCACATACCGTGTACATAATCTTTTGTGCATACGATGTGTTTACATATTTTAATCTTTTCTACCTTTCACATAGCATGTTTGCAGGACATCCTATTTTATAGCTTCTATCACCATTTTTTAATGCATGCACCAATTTGCATTTCCTCAGTCACCAACTGAATGATACATTGTTTTCAGTTTTATTCCATCATAAGTCATTATGGACAATGACTTTTAAACACTGGTACATGCATGCTTTCCTTTCTCTTGAGTTGTTTCCTGGGAAAGGAATTAAGTTCTTGTAATGAATCCTGATGTTTAACTTTTCAAAGAAATTGATAAACTTTTCTAAACTAATGGACTGTTTACCACTAATAGTTTAGGAGTTTGTGTTTCTCCACACCATCACAAACATGTGACATTATATAACTTCCTTTTTGCTCCAAGATTGTTTTTCTTCTATACCTTGGATGGGTCATTTCTTGCCTTCTCTATCAAGCTAGAGGAAAATCTATTAGTCAGCCTTTAATTGTATTGTCATTTCCACATATATGATGGATACTTTTACTCTGTTTGGAACATCTGTGTTGTTGACCTTTGATAATCTGATTGTGGTGCATCAATACACAGCCCCTATGTTCATCACACTCAAGCTTTCTGAGCCTGGAGGCTGACGCTTTGCCTCAGGTGTGGAGGTGTCCTGCCATTACCTCCTCAAGTAGTTTCAGTCCCCTACTCTCTTCTCCCTGTGTCTCCTTGCAATTTTCATTTTGTTGTATGACTCTGAAATATTGTTGATTTTTCTTTAGTTACTTTTACTTGATTTTTTTTTCATTGTTTGCAAGACTGGATTGTTTCCATTGGTTTGTCTCCAAGTTCAGGGATTCACAGTTCTGTCCTCTCAGGTCTGCCACTCAGTATCTCTTACTAATTTTTATTTTAATCCTTGTTTTTTTTTTAATTCCAGAATTTTCATTTGCTTCTATTTGTCAATATTCTCTATTTACTGAAAAATAAATATACTTTAATACTTCTGGCTTTAGTGTATCCAACATACAAGCTGCTTCAAAAATCATTATTCTGTATACCGTTATTGAAGGTCATTTAGAGTTAGCTTCTGTTAACTGTTTAGGGTTTTTGTTAGTTTGTTTGCGCTGTGTAATTCTTTTATTTTCTGCATGTTAGCACTTCAACAACACTACAACCATAAAGAACAATTTCCAAGTTCTATTAACTGTTATTTTTCCCAGCTTGTGCTTGGTTTTTTTGTTTTGTTGTTGTTGTTGTTGTTGTTTTCATACTTCCTATCATTTTGTTGACTATAGACACTTGAATGCATTTAGCAACCTTCGGTCTGGTTTCTGCTCTTTGGCTGGTGTTACTGTCCTCCTCGTGTCCTGTGAGGCTTGTCTCTGCAGCACATGTAGTCACTGGATTTGGTTCATTTTGTTATTTTGACCTGGTGTGTTTGGGAAGTTCTGTTTTAGCTGGATAGTGCGTGCTATACAACAGCTGGCATGACTACTTCCTTATCTCATAGAGCTCATGGTTTCCATTCCTTTCAAATAGTGTTTATTCTCCTACAATACAGTTCTTAAACACTTTTAAGTTTTATATTTTTTCCTTTTACAAAAAAAAAAGATCTTTTAAATGTTTTTAATTCAAAATATGCACTTGGCTAGTTGGGAAAGAGTGGGAGTTGGCTTGTGTTAGGGTTTATGGAACTCCATATTATCTTGCACTAGGGACTGGATTATTTTTTTGGCAAGGGGAGCTGACCAGTTCATTGCTATATTGTTTGGAATGACCAGTTTAAATAAATCATTGAAGCTATATTAAGCCTATACATTCAACAGAGCAATGTGGAATGTAACTCCTACAATTTTTCTGTAAAATAGATATAGTTTCTCATAATTGTATTTGAAAATGAATATTTATTTAGAAATTCTCCACTGGCTCTTTTACTTAAACACAGAAATTACTACAGTGGTTTACAACATAGGTTGCAGTTTCCTCCAGCTGCCTCTTATTTAAGAAATGTGTAAAATGACAACAATCAACATCTTTTCAGTACAAGTTGAAATTAATCAAAAGATAAGAGGCCTACTTTTTCAACCTGCACCCTATTAAAAGAAGACATTTCTAACCTTCCAAATCCTGTTCCAAGGAGGAAACTAAGGCTGGGGTGTTATCTTGGACTGATCCTTTAAGAAATTCAGAACTGTACCTCTGTGGAAATAAATCACTGGAAAAAAGGAGGTTGGGGCACACTAACAGTAAATAGGTTGTGATTGAAGTGAGCAATAATAATCGAGTACAGTGGCACATAGCACTAGTAGGTGGACCAGTGCTGGATTTGACTTAGATGAAGACCCAGTCTCAACAATCAAAGAAATGTATCATGGATTCATATTTTTTAAAGGAAACATTAGGACTACAAATAATTAAAACCTAAATCCTTAGACTTTTTATCTCCCACTTAAATTCCAAGCTTGAGGTAGTCTGTAGTTTAGGAACTTAATTTTTATTGTTCCCAAGTTTGAGAAAACCAGAAAGGCTTGTGACAAATGTATCTGAGTTGAGACATGTTTTATAGAAGCTGCTGCTAGTCACAGAAGATTATGTACATCTCATTCATCATCACTTAACAGTCCAAGCCATTCAGAGCAGTTTGGGATTGCTTCTTTTCTAAGAATGCAAACTATTTTGAGGTTTCACTAAGGGCTAAATTTTTCTATCAGCATATTTTTTCTGATGGTTATTCTGAAATCGTAGTCCCTAGGGTACACCTTTTTTAAGATAACACTCCCTTGTGGGGATGGTTTTTAATCCTGGAAGAAACCCAAAGGTTTATAGAATGCTTACTTGTAGAGTAGAATTTAGCTTCACTACATTTAGAGAGATATTCCCTATGTTTGCTCTGTCAGTTGACGCGTCTTTTCAGCAGTGTGTTTTCCCAATGCTGCCTATTGGCGCTCATCTATAATATTATTACCCCTTTAATTCTAGACTGTGTGTCTTCGATAACAGCTGGAAATTCTGTATTAATAGCTACATGAGGTGCTTCTATAATTGTCCCATTATAATACTTCTTCATATTTTCTGTGATTTTTTTTAATTCAATACTCCAGAACACAAATGTTAACTATAATTTTTTTTTTATAATAAAACTTGTTTTTTATTCCAGTACAAGGCTTGGCCTTTCTTAGTGGGTGATCACTCATCCCAATACTGCTTATTGAAGTGTTCACCTTCCTTCATGAGCTAAAATTTCTCTGTAACAGAAATCATTCCCCTTGCCTGTTTGTAGCCAGTCAGTTCTGTTTGAGTTAGTGTCCCCTCAGGCCAGTTCCACACAGTTCATTACAGTAGCTTTAGAAGCATAGAGTCCACAGAGCAAGGTTCTCCATGTTGATTTTTTGTTTTGGTTTTTTTTTTCTTCAAAATTGGTTATTTATTCTTTCCTGGGAATTTTATAATCAACTTGTAAATTCCTTGAAAATCTTTTTGCATATTGCTGGGAATATTCTTCAGTAAAGGCTTGGTTTCTTTCTCTCCTTACACTTTCAAGACAGTATTTATTCTTAATCATTCTGTTAATAATTCTGTTTTATAATCTAAATTTTTTTCGATTGACTTTTTGGATTTTGTTTGTTTATTTCACATCCCTACTATATCTTTGTAGGTCCTTTTGAATTGTCTGTGTTGCTGTTTTCTTACAGGCCTTACCTCCACAGTTTTCCCTTCTGGTCCCTAATATCATGCATGACATTTTCCTGTATTAATGTGCTTGCTAATATTCATGGAGATTAATTGAAACCATCAAGTGTCATCGTTAGATGTTTTCTGTGAGCCATTGGTAGTTGTGGTTTGTTTGTTCACTTGTTATTGTCTCTTTTTGTGGCTAAGGAAGTTATTCCCTATTCTTAGTTTGCTATGTTGTAGGATGTATGTTTCTGTGTGCTTTTGATGGTTTTATTTATATTTGTAAGGATAACTTTATGAGGGGTCTTTTCTTTAAACAGCACAAATTATTCATAAGATTTTCATATGATAAAGAATTATTTATGAAATAAAAATTCTTTTATTTGCTGAATTTAGATGGTAATATTTTGGATCAAATTCCTGAATGTATTGTTTTTCTTTCCATCTCTTGGTAAATCTAGTATCAGGATTTTTCCAGTGACCTAAACTCAGGAATAGTTCCTCTTCTGCTGTTCACCCAACTACTTGAATACTGTTAATGGCTTTTGTTACCTTAGTCTTTCTTTAGATTATCAGAGTTTAAATAACCAGCTCTATTGTTTTTAGTAAATGGCTGTAGTTTAGTCAGATTATCTATTCTGGGGGGCATGGGAAACAATTTTGTGGGTTTTTTTTTAGAAATTGACGTTTTCATCATTTTAAAAATAAAGCCATGTACTCATCAGGGTATCGAAGGAGATGTTGAGACTCATAGCCAAACTTTGAGCAGAGTTTAGGGAACCTTATGGAAGAAAGGGGAGATAAAAAGACCCAAGAAGGGACATGAGCTTCACAGACAGACAGACAGAGACAGACAGAGCCAAAAAACCTGGGCCCAGGGAGTCTGCACCAACGAGGAGCATGCATGGAAAAGACCTAGACCCCCTGCTCAGATGAAGCCCTTAGGCTGCTCAGTTTTCAAGTGCATTCCCTAGTAAGGGGAGCAGGTGCTGTCTCTGACACGAATTTGGTGGCCGGCTCTTTGATCACCTCTCCCTGGGGGATGCAGCCTTGCCAGGCCACAAAGGGAGATGCTGTGGCCAGCCCTGATGAGATCTGATAGGCAGGGAAAAGGGAAGGAGGTCCTCCCCTATCAAGGGACTAGGGAAAGGACATAGGGGGAGAAGATGGGGGGGTAGGACTAGGAGGAGGTAAGGGGTCTCTACAGCCAGGGTACATAGTGAATAAGTTATAATAAATAATAATTAATTTAAAAATAAAGCCATGTAATGCTATTCTTCATTTTCTTACATGATATTCTATTACTTTCTCTGTAATTGTCTCTCCACTTTCAGTGTTTGCTACTGTAGTGTTCTTAATGATGAGAACTTACTGGTTCCCCTGGTGCCTGGGAACTGAGTTTCAATATAGTAGTAATCTAAAAAGACAAGAGTGAAGAACAAATTGTTTGGATTTTTACATATATGACTTTGATATCTGTGTTCCTGACTCTTTAGTAATACTTTTGAGAAAAGACTTGCTTTAGTACATAATTTTTCCTTTGCCTTCATGTTCTTTGTAAAGGCTTTCTGTGAGACTCTGGAAGAGACTAACTACCACTTACAGAGAGAACTACTTGAAAAGCAAAAAGAGGTGGAATCCCTGAAGAAGCTGCTTGGGGAAAAGCAACTTCACATAGATACATTAGAGAGCAGACTCAGGTGGGTCATGGCACTTCTAGTTGTAGTCTGGCTGTGCCGGCTCTAACACTGTAGGCTCCTAACACTCTAGGCTCCTTGTCCTTTAAATTTTAATGTGGCTCAGGAAACTTCTGACTCCGAAAGTCCTGGGCTCTTGGCCTACTTCCTTATAAACTGTTTGAATGTAGGAGGCTGAACATTTAAGGATAAGGATAAAGCTCTAGCTGATTAAAAAGTTAAGTGTTTTCATGATATACTAACTTCTAACTACAAGAGCTGGAGTTTGCCTCCTATTGGTATATGCTGAATGCATGTAGAAAAAAGTCTAAATTACTACCGCCGCTGATTTCACTGTCAGATCCCTCATTTTAGCAGTTAATTGCCGCATGACTGTATAGGCTAAGCTGCTGGAGGCTAAGAAAGCTGCATGTTTTGATGACAGTGAAGGCACACCTGTATCATTCAGAAGAAATAACTTTCTGTTGTAACACTTTTAGAACATTGTCTTTAGAACCTGAAGCGTCACTGTATGTGTCACGAGCAGAAGGTGGACAGATCCTAAGGGTGGAGTCCTCTGTACTTCAGGTCAATCGGGATGTCTTGGATGAAGAATCTAGGTATATAATTGACTAAGTTAGGGTTGCTATGACTGTGGTGAAACACCATGAACAAAAGCAAGTTGGGGAGGAAAGGGGTTAATTGGTTTATATGTTCATTGTTGGAAGGAAATCAAGACAGGAATTCAAATAGGGCAGGAGCCTAGAGGCAGGAGCTGTTGCAGAGGCCAAGGAGAGTTGCAGCTTAATGGCTTACTTCCTCTGGCTTGCTCTGCCTGCTTTTGTAGAGAATCCAGGACCACCAGCCCAGGGATACACCACCCACAGTGGACCAGACATTTCCTTATGATCACTAATTAACAAAATGCCTTATAGGCTTACCTTCAGCCCAACCTTCTGAAGGCATTTTCTTAGTTGAAGTTCCTTCTCTGATGACTTTAGCTTGTGTCAAGTTGACATAAAATTATCCAGGACAATAACATTTGCTACAATCTGATCATTTAAATCCAAAGAGTACTCTTTATGAACTTTTGTTACTATATCATGAATCTGCTCATCAAAGAAAGAAAGAAAAAAAGAAAGGAAGAAAGCCACCCTAGTTAGTCCCTAAGAAAAGAGTTTCCTGACCAGATAACTTTGTCTAACTGGCAAACTCCAGGACAGTAAAAGAGTTTGTCTTGGAAAATTAGGTAGAGGCCAGTCAGATGGCTCACTGAATAAAGGTGTTATCCTGGCCTGATAACCACCATCCAGTTCCTTGGTGCCACACAGTGAAAGGAGAGAACTGACTCTCTTAAGTCATGAGTACACACATACAATCTAAATAAATGCATGTAACTCTTAAATGGATAGCATATGAGGAGTGACACCTAAAGCTAACCTCTGATTACTACAAGCATGCACATACATGTTCATGCACACACAAATACATTTCTGATTAAATAAATGATTATTTTCCATTAAATGTATAAGTCGCCTTTCTGTGGGAAGATAACAGTAAAGTGAGAGCATGTATTTGTCTGTCCCCTTGTCTCCTTCACTGACATATCCTCTTTCTTTACAGAGCTGATAACAAGCCACACTTCAACTCTAGAGAAGCCAGAAATGCAATAGCAGACATAGAAGTCGCACAATTGGCATATAATGCTGAAGATGACTAACACACTGCTGACAGTTCCCTCCATTTCATCATTTCAGCAGATTTTCAGCAGAGAGCCAGATACCACCCTAAAAGACTGAAACAAAGAAGAACAGGAATGCACGTGTAAAAAAGTTTACATAAAGTTATTGTTGTTTTTTTTTTTTTTTTTTAAGTGATTGGAATAGGAACTATATTCACTGCTGCTTCTGTCTTTTATCCAGCATTGTATTTACTACACTGAAGAAAAAAACTAGTTAGAATTGTTATCAGGGCCCTTATTCTTAAATACATTACATAAATTATTACAGTGTCTTGCCTGTATATTGCTCTAAAGTACTGTGGTTGTGTGTGTGTGTGTGTGAATGTGTGTGCTTGCTTGTCTTAAATCACCAGTTATATTAGGTGAAAATTGCATGTTAGAATCTGGGTAACGTCTCTATCTCAGATATGATATGTATTAAAATCAGTGAACACACAGGGAAGATAAATATGAAACCAGTTTGAAATGTTGATATGTCTATCATCTCTATATAAAAATTGCTTATTTAAAAGAAGATGACTTTCTAGAACCAAAGATAATGTGTTTTGAAGAGCTGTAATTAGATAGGCAAAGAAATAAAACAGCCTTGATTTAAATGATGGTTAATTAATGTCAAGATGCTTACTGTAAGTGTGCTGCTTTATTAATATGTTATACTTGGATATTTTCTGCATAATCTTCAATTTTCTACCCATAAATTCAGTGGGGTTTGCCTCATTCAGAACACTACCTCTTTTTGCTAATCAAGGCATATTCTTTTCAAAATACATTACAGTTCTGAGGCAAGTGTGTTACAGAAAAACAAAATAAATAACCACATATACTGCAAAGTTCCCAAGTAGCTTGACTCCTGGTGTTGCATTTGTATTTCGGTGTATGTGAAGATGTTATGCTGTATTATGATTTTGTTTATAATGTATTTAGCCAACTGATGCACTTTATAATTAAACTCATTTGTGCCAAGTTCAATTGGTGAGTTTCTTTAGTAAGTAGAGTTAACTGGAAGGGTGATATGCCTTTACTCTTATTACAGAAGTCTCCCAGGATCTATAAGCCAGGCTTGTGAAATAGATATGCTTATTTCAGCTCAGTGTGCAGTTGTGAAAATGTCTTGTTTCATCTTGATGGTGTCAACTTACATGCTTTCCATTTCTACTGTTTGCATATTATTCTTAATGTACATTGTAATCACAATTCCATCTTGGAATCCCAGTTGGCATTGACTACATAAGTTTTCTAAAATCTGAAAGAACCTCCTGGAAGAATAGAATAAAATCTTCATTTCTCCTTTTCAGTATCTTTTTTTTTCTTTGTTTTGTTTTCTTTTTTTATTATTAGTTAACATTTTATTAACTCTCTATCCCGCTCCCTCATTCCCTCCCAACCCCACCCTCCCTCCAGCTCAGCTTCTCCCTGCCCCTTTCCAAGTCCACTGATTGGGGAGGACCTCCTACCCTTTCGTCTGGCCCTGTTTTATCAGGTATCTTCAGGGCTGGCTGCAAAGTCCTCCTCTGTGGCCTAGCAGAACTGCTCCTCCCTTGGGGGGTGGGGAGGCCAAAGAGCCTGCCATTGAGTTCCTGTCAGAGATAGTCCCTGTTCCCCTTACTATGGAAAACCAATTGGTTATTGAGCTACCACGAGCTTCATCCGAGTAAAGATTATAGGTTATATCCATACATGGCCCTTGGTTGGAGAAACAGTTTCAGAAAAAAAAAAAAAAAAAAAACCCGTGCCCATCTTAAGATACATATTGAGATAGAGTTGTTTAAAATTCTACTAACACAAGTCACTCATGTTAACCTTTGATCCTACAAGGAGAATACTTTTTAACAGAATACTAAAATTAAGTCTTTGTCAGAATACACAGAATCGGAGCATTTTCCTCAAAGGGTATGAAAAAAATCTGCATAGTTATACTTGGAGATAGAAAAATTAATAAGTTAGTCTGGTTATTCATGTTAAATTATTGTAGGCTTTGCAAAGAGCATGAAAAGAAAGATCGCTTAAGTTACTCAGTAACAGCCGAGCATGGTGGTACACGCTTTTAATCCCAGTACAGAATCCCAGGCAGAAGCAGATAGATCTCTGTGAGCTCAAAGTCAGCCTTGTCTACAAAGTGAGTCCAGGATAGATGACACTATATAGAGAAACCCTGCCCGGGGGGAGTGGGGGAGGCGGGGGATAAGAAACCATTTGACTCTAATAAAACAGTGATCTTTGCAAACTGCAATACGTTGAAGTACTATATGCCTGTTTTAAAGGGAACTAGATACTTAAAATCCAGCTTCTCAGGATATATTTAAAGTTCTAAATCATTGACAAAGTTTGTTTATTAGGTGAACTACTATTATTTATATTTAGAGGTTGCATATTTTACTTTTACATTTTTTACTTCCGAGTATTATCCCCATTTAATAAATGACTTTTCCATTTACAAGAATCGCTGTGTTGTTCAGATGCTGACCACATTCCTCCTGTTTGCTTTCTCTATTCTCCCTGTCCCTGCAGCTTTCATAAGTCAAATTCCATCTAATAGCTGCACTTCACAGGAATGGAATGAACTTACTATTTTTTTTTTAGGTTTATACTTGAAATCTTTGGTATTCTATAAAGACTTTGTGAATAGGTGCCATGCCCTTTAAATCAACCAGTATTCACTTAAAAATTGTAATGTAGTTGAAACAAAAGGTACTTGTGAATAATCTTACAACTTCCAACTTAAGACTCATTCTACTGATTTGCAATAAGCCAAATTGTTCCTCCTTAGAAACATATCTTGAGGTTAGATCAGTGAGTTTGGATAGTACATTTAAGATGTTGGCAATTAGGAGGCCATCAAAGGACAATATAAAGTTAAGACTGTGGGTTGACCACAGTCTCAAATGGGACACACATTACCTATCTTTGTACGTCATTTACAAAGATCTACATCGTTATGTACACAAAGCAAAAAAAATAGCCAGGGTATGCATGAAAAATGAACTGGAATGCTTTGTAATAGAGCCTAATGAGGATAAGTTGAGTCTTAACAGACTTAATACAAGGTTTGTAGCTGAAGTAATTGTGACCAAGGAAGTAGTACTACCTTACATACAACTAAAGTCCTTGGGAAAAGTGTAGTAAAGTTCCCCTCCATGGACTTCTGAGTTGGTCTTCTCATCTAAGCTTGTTCTTTTAGACATCAGCCAATGTCCGTGAGCTAAGTGTAAATGGAGACTATTTATTTGCAACCCTTATTGCTTTGTAAATTGGGTTAGTTGACTCTTGATGTTCTTGTGGTGTTCTTGCTCCCTCCCAGTCCTTCTATCCTTAACCCCTACTCTTCCATAGGACACCCAGAGCTCCTCCTTATGCTTGACTGTGAGTCTCAGTATCTGATTCGATCCTCTACTGGGTGGAGCCTCTCAGAGGATGGCTATCTAGGCTCTTGTCTGTAAACACGCCAGGGTATTGTTAATAGTATCATGGGTTGGCTATTTCCCCTGGGGGTTTGGTGTCTTGGGTTTGTCCAGACATTGGTTAGACATTCCCTTAGTCTCTGCTCTATCTTTATCTCTGCATATCTTGTAGGCAGGGTAAATTTTGGGCTGAAGGCCTTGTGGGTGGATGGATGGTCCCCTTCCACACTGTCTAGAAGGTAGCCTCCTCAGTCTCCCATGTCCCCCATTGCCAGAGTCAACTAATGTAGGCTCAAGGGGACTAACAGAAGTACCAACCAAAGAGCGTGCATGGACTGAATGTAGGCCCCCTACACATATGTAATCAATGGGCAGTTTGATCTTCATGTGAGTCCTCTCATAAGTTGAGCAACTGCTGTCTCTGACATGGACTGTGTTGCCTGCTTTTGGATTACTTCCCCCCTAATGGGGCTGCCTTGCCTGACCTCAGTGGATGAGGATGAGCTCAGTCCTGATGTGATTTGGTGTGCTGGAGGGAGTTAGGAAGCTTCCCCTTTTCTAAGGAGAAGGGGAGTAGGATGGGGGAAGAGGACTAGAGGGTGGCACCATGAAAAGAGGAGGATGGGGCCTACAATCTACAATTGGGACATAAAGTAAAGTGAATATATATAATTTTTTTTAATTTTTTTAACTTTTATTAATTGCACTTTATTTACTTTGTATCCCCCATTAACCTCTCCCTCCTCCCCTCCCAATCGTACCTTCCCTCCCCCTACTTCACGCATGCCCCTCCCCAAGTCGACTGATAGAGGAGGTTCCCCTCTCCTTCCTTCTGATCTTAGTCTATCAGATCTCATCAGGAATGGCTGCATTGTCATCTCCTGTGGCCTGGTAAGGCTGCTCCCCCCTCAGGGGGAGGTGATCAAAAAGCACGCCAATCAGTTTATGTCAGAGGCAGTTCCTCTCTTCCCATTACTATGGAACCCACTTGGACACTGAACTGCCATGGGCTACATCTGTGCAGGGGTTCTAGGTTATCTCCATGCATGGTAGTTGGTTGGAGTATGGGTCTCTGGAAAGACCCCTGTGTTCAAATTTCCTGGTTCTGTTGCTGTCCTTGTGGAGTTCCTGTCCTCTCCAGATCTTACTATTTCCCACTTCTTTCATAAGATTCCATGCACTCTGCCTAATAGTTGGCCATAAGTCTCAGCATCTGCTTTAATAGTCTGCAGGGCAGAACCTTTATTTATTTATTTTTAATGGTAGGAATTGGGAAAACTAACTGCTGTGTTTCTCAGCTCTCAAAGGTAGATCATAGAGCCGGTACCCTGATTGTAGCTAATGAAACAAGTGGAAAGTAACAGGTTGACACTAGGAATGTGTTCCTGTAAGGCGCTCTGTACATACAGTCTCACCTAACTCTTTTTCTGGGTTGAGATGAATCCATCCCCTACCCCCACAACCCCACCCCACCCCCAGGACTCAGATGATGTTCAGAGGTGCCAGGATATGGGGCAGAATGCAAGTCTCAGATTCGGGCCATGTAAGCCACTACAAACTGAGGGGTTTGATCATTATACTAAGAAAATCTATCTGAAATGTGGATTGTAGGTTTTAAAGGGGGAAAAAAAAACCTTCAAAAATAGAAGGGAATGTCCTTCAAGCCCAGCAACTGCCACTTGGAGGGTTAAGCTATGCCTCACACACACAGAGACAATTATAGCAGCTAGGCTGGTCAATAGTTTACCCCTTGCGTAGAGATGCAGAGTACAGCATGAGATTCTCCCCTGAGTTCCCAGATGCTCACCACCGTCAGCTGTGCACATGGCTGACAGGGGAGGGCTAGAGCTTCATTCCATCGGTATGAACCAGAGAAGCCCTCATTCTTGCTGAGTAAGGCTTTCCACGTGTTCCTGGTGGAGTGTTAGAGGAGTGTCCAGATCACTTTAACCCCTACCTAGGCTCTGTAAGGAAGCCCAATAAATTCATTGGTTCCCCAGAATTAAGTGGGGTGGAATTGTGCCTCTACTGTGAGGAACCTCAGAGGAGAGGTAAACTTTGCTGTATGTCTCCCCAGGAAAGGAATTTTAGCAACAAATGGTAATGTATACTTTGTTAACAAAACAGAAGTTAGAGAGGCCAAAACTACTTTTTTGAAAACAAGAGAGAACATTTATTAGACATAAAGAACGTGGCAGTTTGAGTAAGAATGGCCTACATAGTCATATATATTTGAATGCTCAGTCATGAGGAAATGGCACTATTTGAGAAGGATGAGGTGTGGCCTTGTTGGAAGAAGTGTGGCACTTAGCGTAGGCTTTGAGGTTTCAAAGTCCTGTGCCAACCAAGCCTAGCCCCTCTCTCTCTCTGTCTCTCTCTCTCTCCCTCTCTCTCTCTCATCTGTGTCTCTCCTCTCCTGTCCACTCTGTTTCTGCCTGAAGATCAAGATGTAGCTCTCAACTACCCCATGCCACTATGCTCCTACCATGATGATACTGGACTAAACCTCAGAAACTGTAAGGAAGCCCCAAGTTAACTTTACCCTGGACATTATGTCTCTTTGCTGTGCAACAGTGACTAAGGCCAGGGAATGGGGCATTGCTTTGACAGGCCTGGTCATGCTTTCTATTGAAGGAACACTGAAGATTTGGGGACTTTGGACTTTGACAGGCCTGGTCATGCTTTCTATTGAAGGAGCACTGAAGATTTGGGGACTTTGGACTGGAAAAGGGATTGGACACTTTAATGGGCCATTCTAATAAAAGCATAGAAAACTGGGCCAAGAAGGATTTCAACTGTGGAGTCCCAGCTGAAGAGTTTCAGAGGGAAAGAATATTAGCAAGTGGCCTAGAGACCATTCTTATGATATTTTGGCAAAGAATGTGACTGTTTT